CTTTGCGAGACGAACGTTTTGAGCCTAATTAGTCAACGATTAGACAATTATTATCAAATAAAAACAAAACGCTACAGTGCGCTCCAGTGCTAAAGAGAATCGGGCGACGCCGATTCCGCAGGCAACTAAACGCGGCCTTAGACCATAGAAATCAGGGCCATTGAAGCTTGTAAAAGCTTCTAGATTGCCAAGGGCTCCAGCCTGAAATTGTGGAAACACGTCCTGAAAAATAAACCGATAAGAAAAAGGAGTTTTCAACATATGCATTGTTTGTCAGTTGTCACCACCACAGTACCGTGGGCATCCACGTTTGCCTTCCCAGACGAACACCGATTAGAATACATATGATGTTTTAAGTGTATTTTAGGATGTTTGAAAAGTTTTTATGTGATTGTTCTTTTAAATATTTCTCTATTATGTGTTTTTATTTTTTTCTTATGTTTTACTCTAGATTTTATTATTATTTATTTATGTTATGTATTTATTTATTTAATATTTATATATTTCATCGTTTTTCATCATTATTTTTATTTTTATATATATTATAATACGAATTACATGAACCTAAAACTAGAATATTGTTCTTCTAAATTGAGAACATTTTTCTTACATAGACGGGACATTGTCTTCTGAACCTAGAACATCGTCTCTGCTCAATAAAAAAATGTTCTATGTTCACAAGATAAATGTTCGTTAATAAAATTTTATCTAATTATATCCATGTAGGATCTTGTTTTAAAGGATTTATCGTAAGAAACCTGATGGTGTAATCGGAATTTAATTTGGATGTTTAGATTAACAATTATGATTTTTTTAGTTTGTAAAGCCGTATGACGTCATTGCACGTAAATCAAACGGACTGCATGCATGCTGGTGGACTCTGTGCCGCGCGCGCCATCCAACCAGTATAGCGTTGGGAGCGACGGGAAATATTAAATTGGGCAAGAACTCAGCACGAACAGGATGAGGGTCGCGCGGGAAGGAGTTTGTTTCGCGCCAGGAATTTTTTCATGAAGTCTCACCTCATGTTAGCATTCCTGTGGAATGGAGTCATAGGAAAGTATTCCTATGGAATTTTTCCTTCCATTTTCCTATGAACCAAAGGACTGGATAGGAAACAATCCTTAGGAAGTTGAATCCAACAAAAATCCCATGCCAATCCTCCAATCAAAGGAGGCCTCAAAGTATATAAAGGATACTTGTTACAACACTCTTGTGCTTATAAAGTAATAAAAAAGATGTCTAACTTGATCAAAGATAAGGCCAGTCATCATCAAAGGATGAACAGGTTAAACAACATATTATGAACCACATGATAATCAGCAACTAAAGCCACTGCATTGAATAGATGAATCTTGATGCTGTTGTTAGAAGTCCTGCTTTTGTATTCCTCCACGTTGCATCCACATTTGGGTGACAATGCCAAAGCATTGCTATTTGCATTAACAAGGGAAACTGTGAAAACAGTGACATAGTTCTAAATAAGACGTCAAAGGAGAAGATCAACAGACTAACAAGCTAAGAAACAATCTGTGATAAAGACCGAGATCCCAAGAGAAATATCAACAAAGCTAAAATTGTCTTTGAAGTGTTGCATTGAATAGAAGTGCGGCATCCCAAGAGAAAATGAAGTGCTGCATTGAATAGGTGAATCCAATGTTTCTCTAGTTATCTATTGGTTGTTTCAGATTAGCCCTAGGTCTTAACCAAAATTCTCTTTGGAGAAATGCAATTCCAAAATATAAAATCCCAAGATTATTAGCCCTAGCTCCTAACCAAAATAGGATTAGTCCTGCTGATCGTAGTATAAATTATTTTACTTTGAGACCTCACAACAAATTCCAAAATACAGAGCTGCAATTAAAATTGGTTTACATGCAGTAACAAGATCAACATATTGCATATTGGTTGAGAAGTGAAAAAACTGAAATTTTCTGGACAGTGAATGGAAATGTCACGAACTGAATTTTCTGCAATGGACAGTTAAGATTCAGTAACAATACAAGATGGATCAAGCGTAAACAAATCCAATAATTTCTATATTCAAAGAAAATACTGAAATCCCGAGACAAGCTATAAAAGAGTAAATTAAACAGAGCCTGAAATTGCGCTTCAGATTAGTCCTGACCAAATAAAGTATACTTTTTTTTCTTAAACATATGTCAGCACACTACCCACATGACCAAAATGAGAACCCTAAAATCCATGAAGAGTGAACTATAATTCAGCAACTATATATTAAAACTACATAAAGTCTCTGAAAATCTCAGCTACAGCACACAGTAGGCAAGTTACAGTTCCATTGTCATCAGAGCTACTGAACAACTGACTTGCAGCAACAAGCTTACTAATCCCTCACAACCTACAGAACAGGGACATGAGTGAGCACATGAGCAATGGTATATAGGACGAAGCCAGAAAATAATTTAGGAGAGGCTGAACAAAAGAATAGAGGCTTTTTTGTCTTCTCTTAATCTTAGCCCCTCCTGCTTGATACATATATGTATAAAGGATCGGTAGGGGGCTAGAGCCCCCCAGCCCCACCGCGGGCTCCGTCGCTGACTACAGTATTAAAGATTGTGTGTTTACTCTCGCGTAGCAACTCGACTAAATACTAATTTCAGCGGTACTAATTTCTTGATCTCAGATAGCAGTACCAAATCAGAAACTATTTCTTGTGAGGCAGAAAACGTGATTACCATTAGCAATACAGTATTTAATGAAGTACTGATCCAAATTAATTTCTTGTGAAGCCTGCTCGAGAAAAAAATAATTTCTTGTGATCTCTGCCACACGAGATCACAGGTAGAGGTATTAATTTCAAGAGATCACAGCTAGCAGTATGAATTTCTCTACCTGATAAATAAGTACGTGATTAGTACTTTATATTATTCTCTCTGAATCGAAAACTAAAACTAGATCACAGGTAACAGCATTAATTTCTTGAGCTCGTGAGGCAGAACGCGATTCAATTGAAAGTAGCAGCCATGCTCAAGAACCACGACCCAGTTCATCCATTCGATTTGATTTTAAGAAGTGAAGACTAAAGACGAGCAGATCTAAGAAGAAACACACAACAAGATAATCAGGATGAGGCGCCCAACCTGCCCCTAGGAGACCACGCACGACACGGTTGGTCGGTGACGTAGCAGGTGTAGACGGAGATGGCGGCGACGACGGCGCGACGAGACCAGAAACGATCTAGGAAGTGCGCCCGGATCCAAGTCAATATGCAGATCACAAGTGATCGCTTTCAATAAGTCCCTCTCAGTAATTTTGCATTCCAAGAATCGTCAATGATGACCGAATAATTTGCTATGCTGATTCTAACAGAAAAGGGAAAATGAACTGGAAAAACTCCACATATTGATCTCCTCGAGTGCAGCGTCCAATAATGCATACCGTTTGTTCTTTAGGCTCATCATGAGATGGAAGCCATTCAAGGGTGCTGCCAGCAAACATTGGCACAATCTCCCCTGAACTGTGTTCATAAGTTGCGGGAGCTTGCCAGGCACTCTTTCTCAAGACAATCTTAGACTCTAGAAATCAGGGCCATTGAAGCTTGTAAAAGCTTCTAGATTGCCAAGGGCTCCAGCCTGAAATTGTGGAAACACGTCCTGAAAAATAAACCGATAAGAAAAAGGAGTTTTCAACATATGCATTGTTTGTCAGTTGTCACCACCACAGTATCGTGGGCATCCACGTTTGCCTTCCCAAATATAACAGAACATAAACAGTAGGTGGCGATGAGTACGGTGGACGACGGCGGCCATCCCGTACCCGATGACGTGGGCAATAAGACTAGGCAGCGCCCGTATACATTCTCTCTCTCTGACTTGTAAGACCATTCCCTTCAACTATAAAAGGAGATGCGCTCTCTTCTAGGACCAGAGGACTGGAGGACACGACAGCTCAACGGCTCTAGAACTCGACAGCTCAACAGCTCTAGAACTCGACAGCTACAGTCTATACGTTCTCAACAGCTGATAAGATCGGACACATAGAGCATACGTCCAATACTTAGCGCACGTTTGAGCATCCGTCACTCTCTTCCACTCGGTACAGAGTCCGACCGGGCCTCTAACACCCCCTTCTCATTCATTACTCGTCTGTAACCCCACAGTAAACTTCGAGCACCTGGGCTCAGGAATAAAGTCACCGACCGACTGAAACTAGATGTAGGGCACGTTGCCTGAACCAGTATAAATCATGTGTCATCGCGTGCTAGACCACATCCGATCACAACGCACGACAAAACTACAAATATTTACTTATTGGACACATTTCGCACCGACAAAAACGTTGTCAAAAAATTCCTAAAAAATCAGAAGAATATATTGGAGTTGCTCTTTATGTTCTTTGGAATTTGTAGATCTTCATTTTAGGGAGAAGGGGGAAGGAATCCACGTCGAGGAAATCGTATGTGCAGCACTACTTCAGCAGTACTTTTCAACAAACAAATAATGTTTTTCTCTCACAGTAAATCAGCATAAGGATCAGCCTAATCCAAATTTCAGCGAAACGAGCAGGCCAATTGACAATGCCCACTACCGTATGTGTAAACTTGGCTTGTGGTAGAGCAGATATCGTTTTGAAATCCCACATGGGGAACAAATTCCCAAATGCACTGGCTTTACAAAGAACAAACCGGTGTACAATCAACGCTAAACACACTCTTCACACCCTGCACGAGCCAAAGATCAGAGCGTCCAAGAGGGGTGCGTGTGCATAGTGGGCGACTCATCACAGTAGCCCAAAGCCACAAGCAAGCACATCGGTGACTGAACTTTCTCCAACAGGCGAAGTGGTCCCTCCGCCCTCAGGCAGCGTCGCGCCGATGAGCATCGGCGCAGTGCTCAGGCAGACAGCGACGGAGAAATCGAAGTCCTATGTCCCGCCGGCACCCATCGACGTTTCATCAGGTGCAGAAATCTTGCTGACACCAGAGGATGCATGTCTTCTGGTCTTCAGGACCATGCAGTCACGCAGGCTCCGGCCGTTCATGTCGCCACAGACACCTTCCTGGACTCCCGGTGCCTGGACTCCGTTCTGGAGGAGTACTGCTGCTGCTGCTGCCTCCGTGCGGCGGCCCGCCTGGGGCGGATGGCGTCGAGCTGCATCTGCTCGCCGCGGCACTCCTCGCTGCAGAAGGGCGCGTCCCTCTGTACATGAAGATGTCGCAGTCGCGCCCCAGCGGCTTGGCGCAGAGCGCGCATGCGTCCAGCGTGGGCGGCAGGCTGGGAAGCTCGCACACCGGCTCGGCGTCGAAGAAGAAGGCGGAGGCCATGGCTGGCGCGCGTCTAGTAGTTGTTTCTGTGGCTGTTGTTTCTGTGGCTAGGCTAGGACAAGCAAGCTTCGCTTGTCGGCTATTGGCCTGTTGCTGCTGCGGGTGGTCGGAGACTCGGAGGACGAGGTGAGTGAGGTGAGACTTGAGAGGCCGAGGGGCGTTTATATGGCGGACGAGGACGGGCAGGGCAACGGGGGCGCGCGTGAGAAAACAGGGGTCGGGCGCGGGCGGTACGACGGCCCACGGCTAGGGCAATACCGCCCGCCGTACGGGCGGAGCCACCGAACCTGGGCGGCCGCACGGAACGGAATGGAGTGGTTGGCTTCTTTATTCCAGTAGTGGTTGGCTTCGGCCTGACGAGTAGATGGTCGCATCGTTCGTGGGTGCCCGCGGCGAGAGCGACGTACATGAGGCGACAGGCAAGTCATGCTCGACAGCGACGTGGCCGCGGGCTCTGGTTTCCGAAAGGAATACAGCGGAATGGCAGCTTGGACGTCCCGGTACTTCACGAAAACCGTGTGCGATGCTATGCTAATGCTACTCACGGTGTGAAGTACTAAATGTTGACAAAATCAAAAACTAATTGCACAGTTTGGTTGTACTTGGCGAGATGAACGTTTTGAGCCTAATTAGTCAACGATTAGACAATTATTAACAAATAAAAACAAAATACTATTGTAGCTACAGTATTTTCCCCGCGTAAAGGAACAGTGTCCCCTAGTGGGCTCGAATCCGTAGGGGAAAAAGGAGCAGGAGGCATAGTTCCATGAATTTCGTAACATCAAGGGAAAAGAGAAGGTCGGAATCGTTTGCGACAAATCTATACCATTAGGCAAAAAGCTCCAAGCTTTGGCTTAAACTAATGTAAACGCTCTGGCGCCGGTAATAAGGGAACCGGACCTTTTGTCCGTGCCTCCACATGCACCCTGTTGTGTAATCTATATTTGAGCATTTTGAGAAGAAAAGAAAGTCCAACAATTATTGTATCTGGCTTTCCAAAATAACAAGTCATATATCTTGGAGTTCTCGCATGCTAAATATAGCTTACATGTGCCGCTAGCTATCTGTCTCGCCGTACTAGCAAGATGGTTGGAGTTTTCTGTTTTTATAAGATGTTTCTATTTTAGAGATCGACTAAATTATGGTTTTAACCATCTATTTTTACCAACTCTGTTGGAGTTACTCTCATAAGCTCTCTAGGCCTGAAATTAACAAGCCAAATTGTGCAGTTTTTTTTATCCGAGGCTAAACAAACTCAGCGCGGATCTCGATAAAAGCTGCTACTCGGAACGAAGCCTGCCGGCCTGAACCGATGGAATCCAGAATCGCACAAATCTGCGATCGCAAGGTGCTACGACGAACAATATTTTTCTCTCATAATTAGTTAATAATATTTTCAGCCATAACTTATTAGCCCATCAAACCCAAATCATCGACACGCTCTCTAGTCCGGTGCCCTCCCCTGTAGGATTTTCTCTAGGGCTGCTTTATTACGGGAATCCTGGGGAAGTGTAGTGCATGCACGCTAGGCGGCACCCTTGTGGCTCGTCGACGTTGCGGCCCTTGCGGGGACCGTTGGCAGGTGTCCAATAGGCGATGGGCACTGCGGTCTGCGACGATGATGATGCGGTCACGCGCCGGCTGCTGCACGCAATCTGAGGCTAGTGAGTGATTTTAAACGCTCGAGGGAGATCGGAGGATCAGGGAGAATTTGTTGTTTATCGAGAGATCGCCAGGTTTCGCCTTGGCGGCCGTGCACGTCTGGGTGCACTGTACGCCACGGGCGAAGCACCTTGCGATCGCAGATTTGTGCGGTTCCGGATTCCATCGGTTCAGGCCGGCAGGCTACGTTCCGGGGAGCAGCTTTTATCGAGATCTGCGCTGAGTTTGTTTAGCCTCGGATAAAAAAAAAACTGCTCAATTTGGCTTGTTAATTTCAGGCCTAGAGAGCTCGTAAGAGTAACTCCAACAGAGTTGGTAAAATATATATGACTAAACTCATAATTTAGCCAATCTCTAAAATAGAAATCCCTACAAAAAAACAGAAAACTCAAACAAGCTGTCTAGTACGGCGAGACAGATGGCTAGCGGCACATGCAAGCTATATTTAGCATGCGAGAACTCTGGGATATGGCTTGCTATTTTGGAAAGCCAGATACAATATCTGTTGGACTCTCTTTTCTTCTCAAAATACTCAAATATAGATTACACAACATAGATAGTTCTTCTGTTGGGGTTGCTCTAAGACCTTGTTTAGATTGAAGCTGTTAAAATTTAGATAGCTAAACCAGTTGCTAAACTTTGGCCATCCCTATTTAGTTTGGTGGACTAAAAGAGCCATTTAGTCCCCTTTTAGTCAGGGTGTTTAGATCCAAAGTGACTAAAATATGAGGCAGCCTGGACTCTAGTCCCATTTAGCAACCCCTTGTGACTAATTGGCTAAATGCCCATTTAGTCCCAGTGTTCAGATAAAAAGTGACTAAATGAGACTAAAATTAGCCAGCTAAACTTTAGCTGCCCAATCTAAATACCTCCTAAGCTGCAGATCATCGTATCATTGTAATGAAGCTGTTCGGTTGATGGTTTCTACGGCTGATAAGTTGGCTAAAGCTAATTTATTATAAGAGAAAAACATTGTACCGTGATTGATAACTTCAAGCGAAACGGTAACTGAGCTAGTAGCTGAATTGGACCTGCGCACCGGGTTCTGCCCTTGGTGTGTGGCCAGATAACAGATCAACGGAGCTGGGGTATGCATTGCGCCGTAAAATTACTCTAATGTAAAATCCTAGTAGTATCAGCCAGTTGGGCAAGATCGTTTGGAAATTCCCTCTCCACTACTGTACACAGGTGTTGGCTGCGTACGCGGTGAGTCATGCCCAACCTGGCGCTGATCGGGCACATGTTGGGCTGTACTGGGCTTGAGGTCCACGGCCTCCACCTAGCAATGACGCGCCGACACTCTACACTGTTGAGTCTGACTCAGCGGTGAGTCGTGAGGCGTGCAGAAGAGAAAACAGGGGAAACAAACAAGCACGAATTTGAGGTGCTCAACAAATCCGACTTGGGGTCTGAGTCTGATAACATCCTCCACTCACTTGGCTGGGAGACTGAAGTAGTACTACTTCTACACAGCTGAAGCGACTTGTACAGTTAATAACTCTCAGGCAATTAGCATCACATCAATAAATCAATTCAAGAACAGTCGAAGCGCACACGGTGTTTCAAAAAAATGGCTTTGAATATGGAGGCAAAGCTTTCCAAATGCTTGGGATTAAGACATTGACAGTGGCACGCAGGCCAAGCCACATGCAACCAGAGGAACACGGAGATCATCTTGTCCGACTCTCCGGCGTCCGCGGGGATCATTCGTCGCACAGCTCGGCTCAGCCCAGCGCGACGGAGAAACGGGCCGGGCCGTGCTTCACTTGTCCGGTGTCGCTCGATCTGATCTAGGAGGAGGCACGTTTCTCCCAATCTTCCCGAGACAGACAAACGACCAAACCCTTCTCGAGTCTCACTCAATCCGTGCAGGCGCAGCAGCTTCCGGCTGCCTGGCGTAGTGGCGTTCGTTCATCAGCTCGCCACCGCGGACACCTTCCTGGCGTCCCGGTGCCCGCGCCGCGCCTCAGCTCCTGACGAGTACGACGGCTGCCGCCGGCCGCCGGACCTGGCGGAGGCCTGCCTGGCGCGGATGGCGTCGAGCTGCATCTGCTCGTGGCGGCACTCCTCGCTGCAGAAGGGCGTGTCCCCTCTGTACATGAAGATGTCGCTGTCGCGCGCCAGCGGCTTGGCGCAGAGCGCGCACGCGTCGAGCGCGTGCAGGCTGGGCTCGCCGACGACGGGCTCCGCGTCGAAGAAGAAGGCGCAGGCGAGATGTGCTGCTGCTGCCATGGCTTTGGTTTCGGCTCTCGGTGCGCTGCTAGCTGCAAGCCTGCAACTGCTAGAGTGTGGAGACTAGAGAGACGGCCGGGATGGACGGTTTGTGCTCAGCTCGGAGGCGAGCTGCGGGCCGGTATATATGGCGGACTGGGACTAGCAGGCCGCCGTGCGCGGGCAGGGGGCGAGAGAGAGCTGTCTGGCGCGCGTGAGACGTCTCGCAGTGCGGGCGGGCAATACCGCGCACCGGCACTGACGGACGGAGCCGACAAACCGGGAAGGAGAACGGAGTGGCTTCCATTCTTTATTACGACAAGGGGCCATGGACCAATGGTGCGGTGGTTTCCGTCCCGGTTCTGCTTGACGCACGCGGGTGACTCGGCTGCACCGCGACGAACGACGGGGACGACAGGAGGCGGGTCCCTGTTTGACGTGGATGGGGTTCTTTCTGGTCTGGATTCCCAAGCAGGAATCGCACAGAAACGTCCCAGTTACGCCGTGTTTAGCTGTAGAAAGTTGGAAATCGAGGCTACCGTAGCACGTTCGTTTTTATTTGGTAATTAGTGTTCAAATATGGACTAATTAGGCTCAAAACGTTCGTCTCGTAATTTCCCACCAAACTGTGCAATTAGTTTTTTTTTCGTCTACATTTAATGCTCCATGCACAGGCCGTAAACATTCGATATGACAGGTACTGTAGCACTTTTTGAGATTTTGGGTGGAACTGAACACGCGCTACATGCAAAAACCGTGTGCTGTTCTCTCACAGGAACCGAAGGAAATGCACCACTTGCTCCGCTTTGGTGTAGCAAAATGCGGGGCGTTTATTCTGTGGAAAAGCAGGTCATGTTGGCTTAAACTAAACCTGATGTCTTAGACCCAACTTAGAGGCCGGAACCCCACCACATGTTAAGCACGCAAATGATAGAGAGCACTTGCCGTCGAAATATCATCACGGGCACCATATTTTAGGCAGGTGGCACCACGGCACACCCGAAGCAGTGCGTCTACCACTAGGGGACTGGTGGTTTTGTACTCCTCTCCTGTATA